GAAAGAACCTTGACTGGGAGAGGACAGAGCGGGAAAGAACTGACTGGAGAGGACAGAGTGGGTAAGGATGGAGCAGGAAGGGATGGAGCAGGGAAGAAACGACTGGCAGAGGATGGAGCAGGAGAGAACTGACTGGGTGAGGATGGAGCAGGCAATGCTGACTGGCAGAGAATGGAGCGGGCAATGCTGGCTGGGTAAGGATGGAGTGGGCAATGCCGGCTGGCAGAGGATGGAGCGGGCAATGCCAGAGCAAGGGATGGAGTGGACAATGATAGAGCAGGAAGGGACAGAGTGGGCAATGCTGAGTGGGAGAGGACGGAGCGGGCAATGCTGGAGCAGGAGGGGACGGAGCGGGCAATGGCGGAGCAGGAAGGGGTGGAGCAGGAAAGAACTGACCGGCAGAGGATGGAGAGGGCAATGGCGGAGCAGGAATGGATGGAGAAGGAGAGAATTGACTGGGTGAGGATGGAGTGGGCAATGATGGAGCAGGAAAGAACCGACTGGCAGAGGATGGAGCGGGAAAGAACTGACTGTGAGAGCATGGAGTGGGCAATGCTGGAGCAGGAAGGTACAGAGCAGCAGAGAACCGACTGGGAGAGGACGGACCGAGCAATGCTGGAGCAGAAAGGGATGAGCAGGAAGGGACGGAGCAGGAGTGAACTAACTGGCAGTGGATGGAGCAGCAAAGAACTGACTGGCAGAGGATGGAGCAGGAAATGATGGAGCAGGAATGGTTGGAGCTGGGAAGGGATGGCGTGGGCAATGCTGGAGCAGGGACAGACCAGGAAGGGATGGAGCAGGAGAGAACCAGCTGACAGAGGATGGAGCAGGAAGGGATGGAGCAGGAGAGAACTGACTGGGAGAGGACGGAGTGGGCAATGCTGGAGCAGGAATGGACGGAGCAGGAAAGAACCGGCTGGGAGGGGATGGAGTAGGAAGGGACAGAGCAGGACGGAATGGAGCAGGAGAGAACTGACTGGGAGAGGACGGAGCGGGCAATGGCGGAGCAGGAAGGGATGGAAGGGGCAATGCTGGCTGGCAGAGGACGGAGTGGGCAATGCTGGAGCAGGAAGGGACGGAGCGGGCAATGCTGGCTGGGTGAGGACGGAGCAGGAAATAACCGAATGGCAGAGGATGGAGTGGGCAATGCTGGAACAGAAGGGGACGGAGCAGAAAGGGATGGAACAGGAGAGAACAGACTGGCAGAGGACGGAGCGGGCAATACTGACTGGGCAATGCCAGCTCCACCAGGACTCACTCACTCACCTCTGTACGCGGTACACGCGTGTCCAGGGTGCCACCAGCACTCACTCACTCACTCACCTCTGTACGCGGTACACGCGTGTC